TGTTGGACTTGTGGGCTTGGGCAGCATTGGGTTGGGATGTTTTTGTGATGCACATTTTCTTTACATAAAACTCTCTCTTATACATGAGTTGCTGTGGATTTGTTTCTCCAAAGTACCCAGACTAATACAGCATCCTATGAAGTAGTTCTAGATCGGAATGATATAATTACACAGAGAATGTCTGAATTTACATTCCACCCCTCCCCTCCAAGTTTATGTAGGGAAGCTATCTTGAATCACTTTGAAATCTAATTGAGCCCTACTAATGACTGATTATTAGTCTCTATTTTCTTTTCTGAAACGCAGTAATGTCATCTACAAGAAGGTTTCGCAAAGTGTGAAGTCTGCTCCCCAGGCCAGCAGCCTCAGTATCCCCAGGCAGCTTGTTAGGAATGTGCACTCCTGGTCCCCATCTCAATCCTACAGAATCAGAAACCCTGGGGGGAAATCCCATTACGCTTGGTTTTAACAATCCTGCATATGATTTTGATAGATTAAGTTAGACGTTGACAGGACTTGGGTTTTCTCCTAGTTTAGGTGTGTTTTATAAATAAAATTGGTTATTCCCTGCTGGTCTCAGTGAGCATCCAAGGATGGGTCTGACTACCTGCCGCTAAGAAGCCACAGCCATGTCAACCCAATAAATCACAGGTTTTCACCAAAACACAGGAGGTTACCAAGAGTTGAAACGGACTCAATGGCAGCCCTTTTTTAATAGTTATAAATAAAATGCAAAATGTGATTATTGAGGATCAGGGACTTTTTCTATGGAAAGGAAATAATGATCTGTGGGTCATTTTGAGGAGAAATAATACAAAATATTGACCTGGTGTTACTTAGTACTGTATGACTTAAACTGTGACAATGACGTTAGTATAAGTTAGAATTATAAGTTCTGTGAAACAAACTTCTTCATAGAGATACTTTCCCTTGTGTCTAGTATTTGGTCACTAATCCTAAAATTACACGAATCTCATCAATTATGCCTGTGACAAATACCTTTGCGATTATTCTCAGGAATCATACAGGGCAGAAACATAATACATGTTTCTGGGCAAATTGTTCTGTATATTCGGTTTGTATTATCTGACTTGGTTTTTATTAGTTCATATTAGAGTGTATCGCAGAGGTGTTATGTAATTTGGGGTCATCCTCTTGAAGTTGTGCTATATGTTTTTTCTATTTCTCAGTAAATGATACCCGGGATTGATGAACCCATAGAAACAGCAAGTAGAATAAGGGTTGGGTGAGGGGCGTGGGTACAGTGGTGGTGGGGTAAAGGGGAGATGATGTCAAGAAGTCCATGTAGAAAAAGAATGTTTGGAAACTAATTATGGTAGCAAATGTGCAATTATGCTAGATGTGATTGAACTATGGAATGATATGGTATATGTATTAAATTCCAACTACTACTAATGAAAGATGTTACAGATAATAATAATAAAAAGAAACAATTATTAATTAAATTATATTACACTTGCTCTTGAAAATAAAGGATCAGGGTTATGCTGGGGCAAAAGGGCAGGAGCATGGTAACAATTTTTGAGTAATGAAAAAGATGCAAAAGAGGGGGTTATCATTGAAGATCAGATATTTAAATCATTCTAGATGAAGTAAGAAATCATCCAAGGCCTTAATCTACTGAATGGTTTACATGGTTCAAATGGTAGGTCAAAGCTACTTGTCTAATCGGTCATCTTCAACAAGTTGCTTATTAGGTTATGTTAGCAAGTAACACAAAACATGATTACTACAAATACTCTTTGTCAGTGTATCTCCCTCTTCTAGTGTTCTCTTATACTTATTTATTTGTGAGATGTGGTAGTAGTATAAATGTGTGTGTGTGTTTCTATCTTGTGAATATTATTAGTTGTAGAAGTGTCCATCTGCCCATCCTCAACATTTTTTGTAACTGAGAAGTCACTTGCCAAGCAATGTCTATTTTGGGAAAAACAAAAGTTCCTGAAGAGTATGTAATACTTTCCTTTTTTATAAGTAAAAATACATGCCAAAAATAACACTCAAATCCATTGTTGTCAAGTCATCCCTACTTATCGTGACCTACAGGAGGGCGGGAGAGTGGCCCAGACTTTACTTCGTGATGGGAGCAGACTGCCACATCTTTCTCCTTTAGAGAAGCTAGTAGATGCGAAATTCTTATGTACAGGTAGCTGCTAAGCACTTGAAGCATTGCGCCACCAGTGATTCTTTTAAAATTAGTTAATCTCATTAACTGTACCACCTCCAGGACCAAAGTTATATTCCAGATTCATGGATCAATCTACTTGTTGTTAGTTCCCCCTCATGACAAGCCCATGCGCGCTAAGTGGAAGTGCTCCGTAGGGTTGTGAAGGTTGTGGTTTTCCAGAGACAGATTGTAGGCCTGTCTTCCCAGGTGCCTCCTCAGGGGTTCCCATGGCCAACCTTGGGCTAGTAGTTCAGAGCTTATGATTTGGGCCATCTAGTTGCCTGTGTCCACCCACTGGAAGGAATTTACTCATTCAAATGTCTCCCCTCTGTATAAGGTGGTAACATGAAAGAAGCAGCACATACACATTTTTCTTTTGTGCTACTAAAGGTTGTTATATTAAAATTTGAAATAAAAAGATAGAGATGGTGATAAGATTGAAAACAATTCAAAAAAACTTTTCTGTAAATAGCCAGATGCTGTAGCATGACCAAAAACACAGTATGGAATTCCCCTAACTTTTCAGGGGACACATATGTTGCTGAGAGAAAAATGGATTTTCAGATAAGAGAAAAAAGGGTAGGTACTGTGGTAATCATGAAATCTAATGGCATTATTTTGGCTGAGAAGAAATGGTTCATAATCTCCTGGGGGACAGGAATTCACATTTCAAAATGTCCCAAACTGTGTTCAACATTAAAGAAAAACAGCAACACATCCAGAGTTACAAAATTCAAGATAATGTGATTACATTACTTTTATGGAGAAAGGATTGGCTCACATAATCTGAGGTGTTGAAGTGAAAATTACCTGAAATGAAAGTAGCAATCAAAAAGTAATCCTACATATTTTAGTCTGATAGAAAGCACGAAAGAACAAGATGATACTGGAGCACATTTCTGAGGCACGGGATAATGTAGGAAACCTATTTTAACTCAAACAAACTGGCAATTTAGGCAAGTTACACTTGTTGCCAGTAAGATGCAAACCCAGGCTTTTGAGAATGGGATATTTCAAGTTTATTCTTTTGCTGTATCCTATCTTATAGACATTTAAAAATGGGCTAATGTTGATTAACACTTAGAAGAGTGAATTTTTTTTTTCTAGCCTAATTGTCGTCTATCTAATGTAGTACTCAAACTCATTGACATCTTGTCGATTCGGACTCAGTGACTCTCTGGACAGAGTAGGAATGCTCCTGTGGCTTGCTTAGACTGCCTACTTCACAGCAGTAGGGAGTTTCCTTTTCTCCAAGTAATAAAGGAAGGATTGAATAAATAATCATACTATTTATATGAACTGAAGGATGAAAAAAGGCAGAAAGTAACAATGTATCTCTCTCTATAGTAATATGTATATGTACATATATGTAGACACATGTGCATGTATATATAATATATGTGTATGTATATCCATCACATATATGTGTATATGTATCTATATCTTTGTCTATATCTATCTTTACATATATTTCTGATTTTTCTATCCCTGTGAGGTTGAGAACACACCCACGTCAAATACATTGTCCTTGAGTCATTCCAACTCCTAGTCGTCCCATGGGACAGAGGAAAACTGCTCCTTCGGCCTACTGAGACTTACAGGAGTGGACAGTCTCATCTTTACCCTGCACAGCAGCTGGTGAGTTTGAACTGTTAGCCTTACAGTTAGTAGCCCAATACTACTGTGCCAACAGGGCTCCTAAACAGCCCAACGTAATGCAAGACTTCAGAAACAGAAGGTTACAACCATGATTAAATCCCTCTTAGGCCTGAGAAAGATTCCTACAGGGTGAAAACAATTAACACCCTTGGCTGTTAATGGAAAAATCAGATGTTTGGATCCACCTGGAGGAGCCTTGGAAGAAAGCCCTGGAGTTCTTATTTCATTGAAAACTCTTTGGAGTACTCTCTGTGACACATTGGGTCAGCAGGCTAATGTCAGAGTGGGTGACTACAACTGTTCTTCTGTTTGTTTGTCCATTTTAAACCCTGAAGTAGGGATTCAACCTGTTGGCAGAAATGAATTTTACTGGCTAGTGAGATTTACTCCCAAGTATCATTTGCATTGCAATATTTAGCGTGTAAAATCAAAGATTCAGTACCTTCGCATCCTCTCTCAATCTGTCCGTTGCAGAAGAGAGCATCTGAGATGAGGTCTGGGAGTCTTCCATTTAAATCCACGGATGCCAGGCACCCTTGGAAGCCCTCCTTGGCGTGGACCAGTTTCGGCAAGGATTTGTATGTTTCTTTAGCCACTCCTCCTATATACAAGTCACCTGTGGGAAGACCAAAGTTTTTATCACTAAAGTCACATTTCATGGACTTGAAACAGATGCTGGAGAGCAACTGTGAGGTTTCTCTCTCGTGAAATTTCCAAGAGTACAACTGTTTTCTCAAAGGTACAAAACCGTCTAAATGTTTGAATGACAGATCAAGCAGAGAGGGGGTCTCTGGTGGCTATTTCCCATAAAAAACTGAAGTCACTCAATTCCATGTGGCCGGGTGGGAAGGAAAAGAGCCTGCAGTTTGCATAGCCTTGCAATAAAATCCATGCTCAGGTACTTACCAACTGTGGCCATTTTGTTTATGTTTCCTGATTATTATTATTATCATTCATTTCTCAAGTGAGCAAAACATAACATAGTCAAGAGGATGTGAATATTAAATAAAATATGGGTAGGATCCATCACAGGGCAAATATATAATAGCCCATAGGCATTATTATTATTTTTGGCATTATTTTTATTAAATCCACCTTCTGCTTACAGAACTCTAAGTTTTTCAGTCAACACATCTCTCCAGCATCTAAAATCATCTTATTTTACTATGTGTAAGCTCACTACCTTTACTTCTATCTTGACTACAAACCTGCAACTATGATAATTTGTATACACTCAAAAAATTACATCCTGTCTCAAATGTTTCTGTTTTAGAGAAAGTTATCATGGTTTCTTTGTTCTCTATTTAAATACCACTATTGATTCTTTATGATGTTCTGGGAATCTGCTTAAAAAATTGTCAATTCATTTTTCTAATTATTGCAGAATTTCTAAGGAACCACTTTGCTCTGCTGTGTCATCTACAAGTCTCTAGGTTTGCAATTTCTCAACTTGATGCTCCATGTGGGAGTTATATAATCTGTTGTCAATTTGAAAGGATTAAGAGTGAAGGGGTGGAGTTTAGCCTGTCAATCAGGTTGCAGCTTGATGACCTCATTTGGAGGTGTAAGAAGATAAATAGCTCACTGGAGGCAGGATGCAGGCTCAATCCCTGCTAGATATTCTTGTTGGCAAGCTACATGAAGACTGGCTGATGGCCACCAGAGCCTTGGAGCTTGAGAAGCCAAATGGAGACCCCTGCCAGCACTGAGATACTTACACTGCCACTGGATCCACAAGACTTTCCACCCACTGGCCTGTGGTAGTCCTGCATTTGGCATCATTATATGTGTTTAGTGAGTCAGAAGAGGAATTTATAGATTGGTATCAGACATATGGACTAATACTGGACTTAGGGACTTGATCTGGATTGGGCTGGGATGTTTTCTCAATATTCAATTGCTCTTGTATAT